TTTAAATACTTTAATGACATAGTAACACCTGTATTTACTCCTTTATACACTTTATCTAACCAATTATTAACTTCTTCGAATTTTACATGTTGTCTACTTTTAGGTATTTTTTCTTTAATTAGAGTAATTTGAGTTAATTGGTCATATTGAATCTTTTTTAATACATCCACAATTTTTAAATGTTCTTCTACATTTGAAAAACAATTTAATAGAGCGAATTCAAGTAATTCTTGATTCAATTGGTATCCTTTTTTGGTAATATATGATTCAATTTTTTTATTAGTAAATATTTCTCTCTTTGCTTTTTTATTATAAAGATCAGTGTCGGGTTTTTTAGTAACTGGTGATTGTGTTTTAGGCATTTTTAATAATTAATTTTAAAAAAAAAGATATTATATAAATAAAAATCTATCTGGTGAATATTCACTAGATAGATGGAGATTGTGGTTGCCATTGAGGTGATTGTAATTTATATTCTTCTTGTTTTAATTTTTTTAATCTAGTATTTACAATATTTTCAATAGCTATAATACTTTCAATATCTTTATCTTTTTCATTCACTTTTTTTTATCTTTTTCTTTTTACTACATTTGTTTTAAAATTTTTAAGTAATTTTTGTTCATTTTTATAAATAAAAGCATTAGTTGAGTTGACATTTTTTACCCAAAAAAACAAATCATAATCTAGTTTTAATTTACGAAGTAATTTTTTAAATTTCATTAAAGAATCTTTATCACTTAAAGATCCTAAGCGATCTTTCTTGGGAATATTTTTATCAACACTTTGAAGTAGTTTAAAATATCTACAACGTCTTCTAAATGGACATTCCCAATTAGTATATCTGTTATCATATTGCCATAAATCTTCACGAAATTTATATTCTTTTTCATTTCGAAAATTGGTTTTATTGTTACCACATTTACATTTAAAGAAGTCAAAAAATTTAATATGTTCATTATGTTTTAATAAATCAAATTGCTCTTTAGGATTTCGTTTTTTATATAAAATTATATATGAATGTTCAAAATCGATATCACGAAATGATATAGAATTTAATATGATAAAATGCTCATGAAATGCTTTTTGTTTTATTTGTGAATGTTTTGAGAAAGGAGTCACAATGTCTTTTTGAATAGACATTGTTAAATAATTGTTAATTATATTAATTATTTATAAAAGCACCAATATTGCTTTCGGTATCAAATCCTAAGATTTGATGGAGTTAATTTTAAAATTTCTATGAGTCTTTTTATAGAGAATTAAAAAATTAGTCGAAAAAAACTAAGTTTTTAATTTCTCTTGTAAATTATAATATTTAAGTAATTTGATATTTGTTTACTATTTGGGAATA